TTTGTACAAACGAGCTTGGCATAATGGATGGATGTATGAATTGTGATAAGAGCTGTATGAGCCCCCAATAAAATGATTTTTTTTAAAGTTGTGCATTCATCACCACAATCAATTTCAGAGCTCAATTTCTTGTACTCAGGTTTTGATTGTTCTAAGTGTTTAAAGTAGGACATGTTCTGATTTTATTTTTTGTTCTGTCATTGCCATTTGTGAATGTTGACCTTTCTAGACCAACATTGTCTTTTTGGTTGTTCCCCCTAATTTTTGTTCTGTCTTCTGTGTGTGTGTGTGTGTGTGTGTAAGAGAGAGTTTTATATAAGAGTAATTATATATTAAGAAAACATAACAGCCCAGTCCAGATCAAGTCCACAAGTCCCGTATTAGCCCATATGTTCGACTTGTTTTATCTTCTTAAGAAGTATCTGAAGTTCCCTCTTTTGTTGTTGTTTTTTGGGTGTTCTGGTTATTATTATTATTTTTTGCTTCCCGTTTCTCATTCAAGAATCTATCTCACCTTGCTGAGAATATTAATTCTGTTTTTGAGATTTATCTTGCTATTTTTGTACTCCTGTTCTCTGCCACAAGGTGCTTTTTTGTTTTGTTTTCCTTACACCCTTTAGGCTTTCCTCAAATGTCGGAGATCATATCCATTCATATTTTAAGACTAAAGTGTGCCAAGTGGATTGAAAACTCAGCACTATGTGAGGGCAAAAATTGTGCCGTTACTGCGTTACTGTATGGTGATCTGGCTGGCCATCTCCCCATCTATTAAATCTTTGAAGCTTTTCTGTGAAAGCTGCTCAGTTTGCCTGGGTAACATTTGTAGCCCGTTTGCTAGGGTTCTTAGAGCCAAATGGAAACAGGAAATGCGGAATCTTAACCATTCAGTAATTAGATTTTCCCTGTTTGCAGTTTTGCTCCTCCATATGCAACTCTGCTTTGGTGATCCTGAGTTCAATGTTTAATTTAGCCGAGATGGGATGGTCTTCTGCTAGTGTAGTGGCCTAGTTAGTCATGGATCAGTGAGGGAGGGAGGGCCAAAGGGTTCTAGGGATCAGGCCGCTCTTTATTTGGATTGTTGACCAGTCCTCCTATTTTCAGTCATACTTGTGCGTAAGTACCTATTATTTCTAGTTTTCCTGTGGTTCAGAGGAGGAAATAAACCTATCCTTTGCCTTCCTGACCGTGAGTGTTTAAATTTTCTCTGGTTTCCTAAGCAAGTTTTACCACTCATCCTGGTTTTCAGCTTCCAAAATTTTATTTTGTGTCTCCTTTGAGTTTTGACTTTCTGAAGAATAAAATTCCTTTTATCAGCATTTATATTGAATATACATGTTTCCCCTTCAAGGTCTGAAATTTCCTTTCCCAGTTCAGTAAGAGCATCAAGAATTTCCTGTTAGCTATATTTCACTTTTATTTTAGGATAATTATATTTTATATTATAGCAATTCTAAATTAAGACTTTTAAATTAGTATTTTTCATAAATTTTCTTTAAAGCCTATAGTATATTTATTTGATGATTTTCACTAGAATTCACTTAGTCTTCTATAGTGTTAATGATATATATTATATAATAAAAGTTTATACTGATAGCAGATATTTGCAACTTTTAGGTGAATAAGAAAACATGTTTTGATTACTTTTGCTGATGTCATGTTGGAGACATAGCAGATGTGAGCTGATGATACAGCAGAAAAATATTGCCATGGGGGGAGTATCCTCATTTCACATTTAACTCTAGGCTCTAGTCCAAATGCACCGGTAAACATGGCACATTCATCTACACTATATTACCAACTACAGTTGTTTTTAGAGCAGAAAATCTTTACTTAATAGTGTAGAAAAATAATTGGGACAAATCTCAGAACTCAAAATTAAGTAATTTTTAAAAAATGATGGCTAAAATGCCATATGTAAAAAAGCAGCAGGATAGCAATTATTGTAATACTGCACATTAGGGGCATAAAATTTTTGTTTTAAACCAACATATATTATTTACAGATACCAATGACCTTTTTAAATGACTTTTTTGTTAAACTTAAAAAAATCATTTTATGTTAAACTTAAAAAAAATTTATTTTATTGGGGGCTCATACAGCTCTTATCACAATTCAGACATCCACCCATTGTGTCAAGCACATTTGTTGCCATCATCATTCTCAAAATATTTGCTTTCTACTTGAGCCCTTGGTATCAGCAGGCCCCCCCCCCGTCCCCTGGTTAAACTTTTGGGAAGAATAGGGGAACCAGTGAAAATTACTGTGGACGTATATTAAGTTAAAGGAAACTCTGGGGAGAACTTTTAAGTATGAGAAAGTGTGGACAGAAAGTAAGACCATTAGGATACAATGGAATTTGAGAAGTTAAGGGAATAAAGAGATTCCAGAAGATAAAATTATGAATTTGAAAAATGTTTCTTGGTAGTAAAAAATGAGAGGCTTAACTAGAAAATAATTTTTCCCCAATTAATAGGTGACACGAGTTTGAGCGATGGTGTTTGAACATTGGGCTGCTAGCCATCACTTTGGTGGTTTAATAAACTCCAGTTGTGCTGCAGTAGAAAGGCCTTAAGGCAGGCTGTTCCCATGAAGATTTACCATCTCACTCTGAGTCAGAATCAACTCGGTGGCACTGGACTTCGTTTTGGTTTGGGTATCCACCTGGGTGCTTAATAAAATTTTGAGTGAACTAGTGAATAAATAGTGAGAGAATGAATTATTTTTGTTTGCTTTTATACAGTTAAAGTTTTAAGAAGTTATTACTATTTTTTTAAAAAATCTACCACCTTGCCCAAAATGTTGGACTGAAGTTTTTATTTGCTCTTTTACTATTTCTTCAGCATTTAGAAAGCAACACTAATTTCATAATGACTTCTTGGAAGCCTTGATGGCTTAGTGGATTTAAGTGCCCAGCTCTGGGGAAAAGATGAGACTGCCTGCTCCTATAAAGATTTCAGCTTCAGAAACCCACAAGGGCAGCTCACTCTGTCAGGAGAGGAGAGATCTGCCTTCTTGACTTGATGTCAGTGAGTGAGTTGTACTTGGAAGTATCCAGTGTGTGTGTGTGTGTGTGTGGGGGAGAGAGAGGGGAGGGGAGAGGAGAGAAGAGAGGAGAGATCTGCCTTCGGTTTTTAGGAATCAAGTCACAGAATATTTAATGTGGTCTAGAAACTGAACTCCCAGTGGTTAAAATGTCTTCTCCCACATTGTCCTATTTTTATATAAGATATATTAATTGTGAAGTGCAGATGTTTTAAGCCTCTGTCTGCCGAGAGATGGTTCTAGAAAGGAAGCAGTTGTGAATGCATATATGTTATTAAAAGTATAAGGAATTATATGTACAACTACTTTAGCTACTTTAAGGTTTCAAAGTTAATCAGCTAGAAAGATTTACTTAGCCATGGTGTTCATTCATGAATGCTTAGCTCTGGAATCCAAACAAAAAGAGTATTTATTGAAAGATAGGACATGTAAAGACTTCTAGATTTCTATATTTTTCCTAATTACATGCTTTTCATAGTAGATTTTCTCATTTATTTTATTGATTATAATAAGTTTAAAGATTAAGACCAAGTTCAATATTTTAACACTGATCATAAGTGATATTTTAGCGTAACTTGTACTGATGGCAGTGAGTTTGATGGTTTTGTTTTAGTTTGAGTAGCACTGTGAACAATTCTGATAAAGATTTACAGCCTTGGAAAAACCATTTGGGGTAATTATATTCTGACTTAGAGGTTCTTCTAAGAATTGACTAAACAGCAGTGGATTTGACTTGATTTTGTATAATTTTTGAAGGGTGGTTTTACTGAATGGAGGATTTTTGTTTTACAGGGAAACCCTCAACATTTTGAGTACCATATATACTCATGTATAAGCCGAGTTTTTCAACACATTTTTTTTTTAATTTACCAGATTCCAATTTTAATGGAACACAAAACTAATGGGAAGAGAATAAGTCAACACATTTTTAATGCAGTTTTTGTGGTAAATTTAGGTGCCTCGGCTGATATTCGGCTTATGCTCTAGTATATAGGCATGCCTTCTGCCTTCTCACTTACATGATTCTGTTTGTTTTATTGAGGATCTTTTGTATGTAGTGATGTTTTCTTTTTTTTAGCAGATTAAGGTTTATCGTGCACACAAGTCATGCCAAAAATTGAGAAAACACCACATAAAACAGGGAGTAAAAATACGTAGTACCGTATTTGTATTTTAATACAACAGGGTCCCAGGATTCAATTTAGTCAGTCTGATTGGGAATTTCTTTGGCCAATTTCTGAGTCTTACACTTGGGAAACTTCACCAGTTTCCTCTTCAGACTCAAATGCCCGACCGTCTGATGATTCGAAGTTATCCAGAAGGGTCATCATTCAGTCTCTCTCTCACCTCTGCCATATACTGTACGTGTTCTGCTACTTCTACTAATTCTTTGTTTTCTTTTAAGACTTGTAATTTCACTGTCTTTGTCTTCAATTTCTTTATGAAGTTTCTCATTTTCCTTAAGTGTATCATAGAGAACCTGCTTTTATTTTTCTGCTATTTCTTTCCAATATTGAGAAGATGGAGTTTCTTTAATCAAGATCAAATGCTTCTTAGGTGACTTCTCCAAGGTTTTTATTTTCACTATGTTCAGGGACAATAACATGTCCAGACCTGGAAGTTTTAGTTGGTAACTGGCCATTTCCATGTTTCCTTTTGGATACCTTTGGCCTACTCATTCTCTTCTAACAAGAGACCCATCTGCTGAGGGTTGACTCCTCTTCAGAGTAGTTCTTGGGATAGGAACTATTCTTTATATTCTCTTGGAGTTCTTATTTCTGCTTCATACTGGGATCCATTGTACAGCTGGTGAAGGACGAAGTCTAGTGAACTTAGAGAGTGGACGGGGTGGGGTTACTGAATCATCTCAGAGAACGCAGACAACGCTGCAGCTTTGCTCTCGCAAAGCCGAACGCCCACTTAGTTTCCACGTAAACCCCGGAAGTGGTTAATGTGCGATGCCCGAGATTTTCCTTATGGTTGATTTGTTTCTCTCTTGTCTGTAGCTTTTGAAAGTTTGATTCTGATGTTACTATGCATATGCCTCTTAGATTTTTGGAGCTTTTTAATGTAAACCCAAACCAAACCCACTGCTACTGAGTCAGTGGTCACTACTAGAAGGTTTCTAAGACTTTGTCTGGACTGCAGAGACTACTGACCTTGCAGTTAGCAGCCCAGTGCTTCTCCCACAGCACTACCAGGGCCCCTTGATGCATAGATTAATGTTTTTCATAAAGTTGGCAAGACATTGGCTATTCTCTAAATATTCTTTTTACCCCCATGTTTCTTTCCGTTCTCTCTCTGATTATGCACACATTGATGTGCTTGATGTTTTCTCACAAGGCTCTCCAGATTTTGTTTTTCTTACTCAGAATGGATAATCTTCATAGACCTGTTTTTGGAGTCACTGATTAGTTCTCTCTTAAATCTGTAGTTGCTGTGCTCCTTGAATGAGTTTGTGTATATGTTATAATTTGGAGCGTCAGGATTTCTATTTGATTCTTTTTAATATAACTTTATTGATAGTATCTATGAGGGGTGCCAGAATTTTGTGGAAATTTAAAGTTATCTTTTAATTTTAATTTTTCATAAACGTTTTGAAGCCCCCTCATGTTTGGCAATACATTTTCCTCATATTTTTGTCTAGTTCTTTATCTATGATTTCCTTTCGTTCCATGCCATACTTAAATTTTTAAAAAATCATTTTATTGGGGGCTCATACAACTCTTTATCTCAATGCATCCATCCATCCATTTTGTCAAGCACATTTGTATATATGTTGCCATCATCATTTTCAAAACATTCTCTTTGTAGTTGAGCCCTTAACACACACTTAAATTTAATATCTGTGATTCAATAGAGACAGTTTCTCTTTACACACATACACACTCGTTTGGGCTATACTTATCATTTCTTGATAATTTTGTTAAAATAGGTGTTTCAAATAAAAAAATGTGGAAATGAGATTCTGCCCCTATCCCAGGGCCTTTGTTGTTGCTATTGTAATTGTTACTGGTCGCTTATTTAATGACTTTTCTTAAAAGTCATCTTTTTTGTGTGTGAACACTGAAGACTTCACTTACAGGTTAATGGTCAGCTAATTATTGGTCAGAGAACCTCCTGGGCTTTGCTGAGAGAGGATCTGTATGCAGGCTGGGGTATTACTTTTGCCACTCAGGCACTTAAAGAACTCCTCTTTAGCCTTCACTTTCTGCTTGCACAGTCTCAAGGTCAGCCAGAGATGTTAACTTAGGACCTGTGTGTGTACATGACCTTTTAGATTCTTAGGAATAACTTGCTAGAGTTTATAACAGACCTTATATATGTTTCATATTCCAATGTGTGTTTTTTTTCTTTCTAGTCTAACATTTTACTTACCAATCACTTAACTGTATTAAACAGTTGTGAAGTTAAACAGTTGTCTGCCATTTTTTCTTCCAACAAATGTCCTCAGGAAAAACACTGGGTAAGATCCAAATCAGGTCAAATACAACCAGCTTTGCATTTGGGTCTTCTGTGTGAAAACCATGGAACTTTGAAGCTTTGTCTTTGTTCTCTCCCTTCCATTGTCTTGTCTGGCTAGTGAGTGGTTTTTACTGGGAATGGGAGCTGTTGGTTTTACCCTGATTGCAGAGCTCTAGAGAGTGGGCCTGGGCAAATAAAAATGCCATAAAGCCTGCTGCTGTTGTAGAGATTCAACCATTTTTCTTGACTGTACCTTCCCCAGGTTGCTATACGCCTTTGGTTACTTTCTAGAACTTTGAGAAAGTTGGCAGTGTTTAGATGCCTGTAGTCTAGTTTTCACCGATGTCTTTTAGTTACTCTTTGCTTAGTGCTCTAAAGCTCCTTCATTTCTTCCTTTTATTGGTACTGTTAACCCTTTTTCATGGATTATCTTCATATTTGAGAAGAGGTTACTTCCAAGGACATTCACTTGTACAATATTTATAATGGGAAAATGTTCATGATATACTTTACATGAAAACAATTCAAAATGTAGTTATGCTTACGTTTTTAAAAACTATTTTTATAAATATGAGTATATGAGTGCACCAAAAGTCACCGAAGGAACTGCATCAAAGGGTTAGCACTATTTATCCCTGGGTGATGGAGTGAATGCCAGTTAAACTATGTTGTTTAAGAAAAAATTTGTTCTGTATATTCTAGCATGTTTGTACTAATTTTTTTGTTTAAAATAAATGCAGTGATGAGGTGACTGACGGTTACACCATGCTGCATTTCACTTGCTAACTATAGAAAGGGCATTTTTCCCCATTGAGGTGTAAAAGGTAGATAATTAGACAGATGACTAGTAGTATCATAAATTGATTAACATTTCATTATTTTTTTTTGCAGGCTCATATTAAATTTCCTATTGACTACCCATACTCACCACCTACCTTCAGATTCTTGACCAAAATGTGGCACCCCAACATTTATGAGGTAAGAGATATCTATCAAAAATTTTATCTGGAGGTAGTTTTTCAGATACACTCTAAAATAACCTCTGTATTCTAATGTACTGTGAGAATTACTGCATTAGCCTAGCCACAAAGGAAAGCCTGTGGTTTTGTACTTTTAGTTAGTCGTCTCTGGTTTATTGGTTCAAAATCGAAGGGAGTTTTATAACTCTTCATGTATAGCTTAGTTAACTTAACCTTAAGATTTTAAACCTTTGCCCCATTCATACTAAGTTTATATGGCATATATGTTAACATTTACATTTTTAAATTTAGTAGACAGATATTTTTATATCTAACTTTATGCAAGGGCCATTTATAGCTATGACCAGAAATTCAGCTTTTTGGAGGAGGGAGCACTAGAATTGAGTGTGATTACGCAACTCATTTAAAAGGCATTTTAACCATGGGAAGCGGGGGTGTTCTAAAATTGATGTAATGTTTGTACAATTCTTGATATGATTGAACTATTGTATGATGTAAGTTATGTGCCAATAAAAACTGTTGGGGTGGGGAGGAAATTCAGCTTTTGAGGGGCATTTATAACACTCCATTTGGATAGGCTTCCTTTCAGGAGTTGCTTGCTGCTGAGCATTTTGAAAGTCTCTGTATTAGTCTAGGTACTATGGAGAAACAAATCCACAGCAACTCATGTATAAGAGAGAGTTTGATGTAAAGAAAATGTGCATCACGAAAACATCCCAACCCAATGCTGCCCAAGCCCACAAGTCCAACATTAACCCATTAACCCAACACCAGTCCACAAAGTCCTCCACCTCACAAAACAGAGGCAATGATGCCGACTGCAGGAGGAAAGCTGAGTCAGTGAACGAACAAGCATCTCAGCACTAGCAGGGGTCTCCACACGGCTGCTCCAGCACCCAGGGCTGCATCGGGATAGGTCCATGTAGCTTCTCCTTGGGGATGTCTTGTAGGAAGTCAATCTTGCAAGCTGAAGCAGGAAACTGCTGAGGCAGCTGCACCCGGTGCAACCATCACAAAACAAGAGACCCGAGAACTAGAAAGGCGAGGCTCACCACCCATTTATCCCTCTGCCTTTCAATTAGCCCCACATGTGATTATTGGCCAGGCTGGCACAATTAACTAACTCAGCCTCTTTTAGAATAAATCCAAAATGAGGTTCTTTTAGACATTACACATACTTGGGTGAAACTGTTCTAGTTTCACTGGTAAACCATGCCTAGCTTTGTTAGAACAGTGCATTATATTTCTCCAGGTGATAAATATGTGGAGAGCCCACTAAAATAACCTTTTTGGCTACTCTTTTACCATGGTGTAATCTTTTCATTGCAGTGTTGGGTCTGCAGCGATCTCATTCTATTGCTGTATGGGGCCAAGTATTAGAATTGCTTTTGATACTTGTAGCTTGAGTCATTTATTTTCCCCTTTTAATCTGGTGGATCTAGGGATACCACGTTGCTCCAGAAGCAAAGCTACTTAGCTTGTTGAAAATTGCTTTTAGGTAAGAAATAAAAGCCTACTTTGGGCCATGAACTTAGGCATAATCTTTATATATGAAGATGGAGCAGTCATCACTTTTCATAATCTGCATTTGTAAAATATCTTCATTTTAAAGTAGGACAAACGTGATGTGGAGTTTTCTTTCCAAAAGTTAGCTGCCAGAATATTGATTTTATTAGTATTTGACCTAATCATAATACAAATAAACAGTAGTGAGTAACCCTGATTATATAAGGTCCCTGGTGATATAAATAGTTACTAATCGAAAAGTCCCACTTATCAGCACTGTGGAAGAAAGTCTTGATCAGCTCATAAAGCTTACAGCTAACACATGTTAGAATTAGCAGCAGCTGGTAACTTTTTTTTTTTTAACAAAGCTCTTTCTCTGATTTCCTAAGTTAACAGAGTTCAGTATACATAAAATATTTTTGTGTCTCTGGGTTGTGTCTGAGGTTCGCTGTTCAAACTCACAGCCACTCTTCAGAAGAAAGACAAGGTTGTCTTCTCCCACCCATTCAAGATTTACAGTCTTGGAAACCCTGTATAAGATTATCATGAGATGGAATCAATTTAATTGCTTTTTTTTTTTTGTTTTCATGGTTTTTTGTTGTTTTTTTAAAAACATTTTATTAGGGGCTCAAAAAACTGTTATTGCAATCCATACACACATTAATTGTGTAAAGCGCATTTGTATATCATTCTCAAAACATTTTTTCTCCACTTAAACCCCCGACATTAGGTCCTCATTTTTCCCCTCCCTTCCCGCTACCCCCTCCCTCATGAGCCCTTGATAGTTTATAAATTGGTATTTTGTCATATCTTGCCCTGTCCAACGTCTCCCTTCACCCACTTTTCGGTTGTCTGTCCCCCAGGGAGGAGGTCACACACAGTTCCATGTAATCGGTTCCCTCTTTCCTACCCACTCTCCCTCTACCCTCCCTGTTTCACCACTCACACCACTGGTCCTGCAGGGCTCATCCGCCCTGGATTCCCTGTATTTTCGATTCCTATCTGTACCAGTGTACATCCTCTGGTCTAGCCAGACTTGCAAGGTAGAATTCGAGTCATGGTAGTGGGAGCGGGGAGGAAACATTTAGGAATTAGAGGAAAGTTGTATTTCTCATCGTTACATCGCACCCTGACTGGCTCATCTCCTCCCCGAGACCCCTCTGCAAGGGGATCTCTAGTGGCCTACTAATGGGCTTTGGATCTCTACTCCGCACTCCCCCCATCATTCACTATGGTAAAATTTTTTGTTCTGATGATGCCTTATACCTGATCCCTTCGACACCTCGTGGTTGCATAGGCTGGTGTGCTTCTTCCATGTGGGCTTTGTTACTTCTGAGCTTGGTGGCCGCTTGATTACCTTCAAGCCTTTACGACCCCAGATGCTATACTTTTTGATAGCCGGTCACCATCAGCTTTCTTCGCCACATTTGCTCATGCACCCATTTGTCTTCAGTGATCCGTTCGACACCTCGTGATCACACAGGCTGATATGTTGTTCCATGTGGGCTTTGTTGCTTCTGAGCAACATTTGCTTATTCACCTGCTTTGTCTTCAGCGGTTGTGTTGGGAAGGTGAGCATCATAGAATGCCAATTGAATGGAAGAACGTATTCTTGCGTTGAGGCCCACTTGAATGGAGGCCCAATGTCCTTCTGCTACCTTAATACTAAACCTATAAATGTAGGCTCATAGATCTATTTCCCCATCCTCATATAAATATATTTGCATATGTACATGTCTTTATCTAGACCTCTATAAATGCCCTTTTCCTCCCAGCTCTTTCCTCTATTTCCCTTGATTCTCCTCCTGTCCCACTATCATGCTCAGTCCCCACCAGGATTTCAGCACTTCCTTTTTGTTACGTTCCCCTTGATCATGCCCTACCAGGTCTTCCACACCCACCTCTCCACCAATTTGGATCGCTTGTTGTTCCCTTGTCCCTAGGTTTGTTAACACCTCTTCCCTTCCCCCCACCTCCCCCTCTTAATTGCTTTTTTTGTCCATTTAATAAAAATTCTTTTTTTTTTAATTCCCGTCATTTATTTTACATACATGTTTTCAAGAAGACACCTAAGTTAGCATTAATACAAAAACAAAGGTGACATACAACTATACTTGATACTTGAATGCATTCAGAGGTAAAGGTTTATAGCTACACAAGTTACTCATATTACTTCCATTTGGAGTTTTTCTAGCTCTCTCATAGCTGTTTTGTCTCTGTCTGTTTTGTCTCTGTCTTTTGTAGCCAGACCTCACAAAAGAAGCTTTCTTTGCTGAAACTACCTGCATTGACTATTGAGGTGTCAAAAGTCCTTAATTTTTTTAAGTGATGTGGAATATACAGATTTTAGACAACAGACACAAGAAGAATCATGTTTTTGTCTTGCTATGAAGTACTAATTAACCTTAAAGCCATATAGTTTTCATTTTACTTGAAAACTCTCCATACCCTTGACAAAATCCAACCAACTCAACAAACAATATTGAGATTCAAGACTCTACAGGAAGAAAGTGGGCTAGGTAATTAAGCTGCTCCTTCCCTGTTATTTTTTTCCATTACTTAGTCAATCTGTCTTTTAAGATTTACAGTTGGCTTGTGGGCTAAGCATTGAACTGCTAATCTGAGTGTCAGCAGTTCAAACCCACCAGACAGTCTCCCTTTTTAGGAGAGCGAAGGAGACTGTCTGCTCCCATAAAGATTTAAAAGACTCATATTGTCTCTATGAGTCAAATTAACTTGAGAGCAGTGAGTTTTGTTTGATGACTTTTTCAAAGATACTTTTGGTATCTATAGTAAAATTTTCTACAACAGATTAATGTATATCCTAGGAATATGCAGTTATTTTTCATATAATTATATTTTATATGTAAACATCTTAAAGAGAGGTGTCTTAGGAAAAGGATGTTAGAGAATGTCTTTATAAGTCAGTTTTTTTAATAGAGAAGTTGTAATCACATATCTTAAGGCTACTTTTTTGTGTGTGTTTTTGTAATTCTTAATTGTGCATAATTAGATAATTTATAAAAGAACCTGCATAACATATTTGCAAAATTTTTTACTAGTAGTGTATTTATTTAGATGTATTAATTATGATTCTTAATACAAATGTTCTCCAGCTCAGTCATTTTAAAATCTCATAGTAATTTTTAATGTTTATTTATTTTATTTTACATATTTATTTTTTAAACACTTTTATTTTTTTAAAAATCATTTTATTGGGGGCTCGTACAATTCTTATCATAATCCATACATCCATCCATTGTGTCAAGCACATTTGTACATTTGTTGCCATCATCA